GAATGAGCTTTCATTCCTTTTCTTTTCTCCCATATACTAGGGCTATTAGAATGTTGCATGCTCGGTAAGAAAGGCTAATATACTATGCTTATGACCATATAAAACCCATTGAATAAGATCTCTAAAATCATTTCTCTTTCATCTTCTCCAGTAAGCATTTCATTGAGTGTGATTCAGGCCACACATTCTGACTAATATGGCTAATCCTCTGCCTACTCTCAACTTGCTCTAGACTTTGCCTTTCACTCCAAACTCTGTCCTGCAATACTTCCAGTGGCCTTGCCAATTATTTCCACACAACATTTCTTTCCCTCAAAGATCTAATTTCCAGGAAAGAATTCACCTTAATTAAAGACATAAAGATACTCAAGTACCAAGTATTAAAATGTTCCTTTAACTTAAAGCAAAGATGGTTGGGTGAAATTTTATTCTTGATCATAGTTCATTGCAATAAGTTTATCAAATGAAAATTGAAAAGAATCTTGTTGGTATTCTACCTAATTGTCTAATATTCTACTATTAAGTGACGTGGTATGAATATTCTTAAACCAGCACTACTTCTAACCCGCATGTTTGAAACAAAATGTCATCTTTTTTCAAAGAATTAAAAGAAAGGATACTTGATGTTATTCAGAATTGCATAACAATATGATTCACAAGAGAAGTTGTTTTGTTTACACTTGGAAGGAATGAAACTCTCTGGCTTATGTTAAGTTCATATAACCTCTATTTCTGCATTTATCATTTGCTTTTCTTTATCTAATTGGGAAATTTAAAAGTTGCACATTTCTAGTCAAAACAAACAGTTATCTACTCACTGACAACAGAAAATTTTATATCATAAATCTCAAATGTAATTGGTGTGGGATTCCCCTCTGTATGCTGTGAATACCATTGGTTAATAAAGAAACTGTCTTGGGCCTGCACAGGGAATAAAGGTAGGTGGGAAAACTAGACTGAATGCTGGGAGAAAGAAGGTGCAATCAGAGAGAAGCCAGTAGCCCTGCCAGACATCCAGAAAGGAATATTACCTGGTAAGTCACAGCCTTGTGGTGATACACAGATTATTAGAAATAAGTTAAATTAAGATGTAAGAGTTAACCAATAAGAAGGTAGAGCTAATGGGCCAAGCTGTGGTTTAAATAATAGTTTATGTATGATTATTTCGGGGCTGAGAAGCTGGGAAATGAACAAGCAGCCTCCTTACAACATATAGTAATTCTCTTATAACATTGAATTGAATGATTTCATGTAAGTCCATCAAAAAATATATCTGTAAGTACCTGGTATGTGCTGGTATGTCTTCACATCCTCCTCACTGCTAGAAAACACATTTTCCCTTATTGATTCAAGTATTTTGGTAGCTTTACAATTTTATTCCCAATTGCAGATCACAGAAAAGTTGATTACTGTGGTCATACTACAAATGAGCCGACTGCATGATGACCCAGTTTTCATACAAACTTAAACACACAGTCCTGGATCACTGATGCTTTGTCCTCTGATCTGAATTGCGACGCTGGAAGAACTGAAGGCCAGCAACTGCACAACACAGCTTGCAATTTTGTATAGCCACAACAGAAACAGCAGCAAGGGAAGCATCAAAAATCTAAGGCAATGTAAGAGAAGAGCCTCATGTCCCAAATGATAACAACCACATGTACTCTGAAAATATCATTTATCAAATTCTAAAAACTAGAAAATAAGAAGACTTTGAGTGGCCTATTTTTGAGGAAGAATAATTTCTCCAATGAATACTACCAAAACTTAGTTTTAGTTACATGTGTCCTCTACTTGAAACTGGCACTTTTGCCATTGATTGTTGTCAAGATATTTGCCAATGTCCTCCATAAAGCTTTAAGTAAGCTGATTTTAATATAATATACATTTCAAATGACATTATCCATATCCTATATTTAGAAAACAAGAATGTTGATTAACATTTTGAAAATAGTGTGGAGAAGGTAACAAGCTCATATTTGCCCAACCAGCTATAGTCTTATTTTTTCCTGTGCAAGTTGGTTATGCACTATGACACAAAACAGTGTCTGAGCTGTTATTGTTTTTCTTTTTTTTCCTAAAATTATCACAAACAATAAAATTTGCTCCTATATGTTCTGGGAGTAGACTTTTTTTAACAACTAGTTAGGTCATAGAACACTTGCCAAATGAGGATGATGCCTTGGACTCAATCCCCATAACTGCAAAGCAAAACAACAAAAAAAAGAGAATTTTTTATTGTTAAGTCATTTCTGCCCATTTGGCAAGGACAGAAGTAGAAAGGTTTATCCCTTGGTCTTTTGTCTGGTGTATAAGAGAGACCCATGGCACAAGACCTGTAAGGTTTTCAGTTAGAGGGATACCTTCTAGAATGAAACACACACAAATGATAGAGCTTCACATCAGGAGTTAACCAGTCATACCTGATAGTGAATAGAGGACATAACCATTCTACTGGCTTCAACTGCAGAGAAGGGAAATGAGAACAATAGAAGCTCAGAGTTTCCTTGGAGACTCTACAAAGAGTAGCCATGTATACTTGAACCTGGATCGCTTTAATTAACAAAAGCAAAAGACATCATAAACTACATGAAGCAAAGTTAGTTGCTAGATATTTATAAAACATTCTTTAATATCTTCAAAGATTAAGCAACTCAAACCCAACTACTAATATGAGAGTAAAAAATATGTATATTTCCTAAATAATAGTAAACAGATGTATACAGACGCAGTGAAAAATTTTGATGGGGGCTAAGTAAACAGAAGGGAAGATTGAGAACACATGCTTACCTCTTTCATCACCTATGGTCCAGAAGCATTCCTTATCCATTTTACACCTAATTTTACTGAATAATGAAATTAAACAATAAACATATATATATATATATATATATATATATATATATATATA